TCGTGTGTATTGTCCTGTAAAAGGTAGGTTATTAGTGTCTGGAGAAAAGCTTCAGTGGATATTTCCTTTGCAACATCTTAACCAACAATTGGTCCAGTTATCAATGCTATTTTCAAGTATTGAACAACACGACTTTCAAGATCTACATGTGCCGATGTTTCCGTTTATCAACGTTATATTTTAAGATCTGTGCAAGAACTCAGCTAACAGATGTTCCCGCATATAAAAGCTATCTTCAAGTTTTGTACACCAAAAAAAACTTTTCAAACACACAACTGTAAAAGAATTAAAAAAATTAAGTGTAGCATTTATTGAATCGCTGGCCGGTGCGAGGTTGAATGTTTCCTCTTTCTCTCAAAGAATCCGAATATTTACAATTAGCATAATGTTTAATTTTTTTATGTAAATAGGAACCTTGTGATTGATGGTATAAGTTTGGTTGTATATTGTCTGAGTGATTATTTAACTCACTGCATTTCCACGATCTTTATAAGCATTCAGTAGATCCATAAAGTATCTGTTCTGTTTTTCTGAGCAACTTATTAAACAACACTAAACTTGTTTCCAAGGGTCGCTAAAGATGCTGTGAAACCACTGGTAGATCTTCATGAAACTACATATTTTGATCACTGATATTATTCCTACTTAAGTTACAAATAATCTGGTTTTGTAACCACTTCTTCACCGAACTACACGATTATAATCCTAGAGTATCTAATTTTTACTTCGATTTTCTCTTTCCTCCCGTTTTGTGTGTTTGTGTCGAAGAAAACAGTCATTAGGATTGAGTTTGGTTCAGATTCACTACTTATATAATGAGTGAAGTAGTCATGAATTTCATCATTGTTATTATTCGGATATATTCAAAGACATTTTTCTAACGTTTTTGCGCTTGTATTAAAGTATATTAGTTCACTGTCAAAAGGAGTTTTTTCTAGTATCACAGTTTGATATTATATTTCTAAGTGTGAATGTGTGCCTTTAATAGTCCTAGCTGGTCATGATTTCCAATCTTCTGTTTACAACTTGAATGGAAATATCTGGTGTTGTGTAATTATTCTTATTATTGTCATTATCGTTACTGAGATGTAGTACGACATTCTTCTTAACCGAATGACCGTAAACATGTACTAATCCTTTTAATTGGTTAAAGCTTGTGCATGCCAGTGGCTAAAAATTCAAATCTCGTTGGTCCTGTGTCTGACCCCTCTGGAGAATGGCAAGCCAGTCTCATATGGTGGTTCCGATATTTGTACAAACCAAGATAAGCTAGGTTTTGTCTCCCTTATAAATGTTATTTATAATATTCGGTGATGTAGGCAATGCTAGATTCTGGTATTCCGCATTTTAACGTTCTTGAATGAACTTTTTTTTTGCGAGAAATCAGAATTCTGTTAGTGATCGTGTTAACAAAGCCTCTGACCCCAACAATCAGCAAAAGTTAAAGGAAAATTGTAAGCCAACCATTAAGTGCGAAGTTTGATACATTGTTTGTGAATAAAAAGTTTGTTTTACTTATTCACTTATGAGTGTTTCTTTCCTTTACTGTCTTTGTTCGATATATTCTTTCCATAACATTTCTGGAATCTGCATTTTGCATATCCTTTTAGTCGTACTTGTCAGTTATCAGTTGATCTAAATACCAACACACACACACACACACATATATATACCAAGGTTGAGTGCACTATGTTAAAAACAAATTAGACTCTCACAGCATCGTTACAATCCACGTTGTCTCGTCTATCCATGCTGTATCTAACAACCGTGCATCTTCACAGTAGCCCTGCGGTGTATATATAGTTTCCATTGCAAAAGGCTCCATCGTAAAACTTTATTATTCAAAAAAAGCCATTTCAAAAATTTCTCCTTGTATGCTTTATATAATCCTTTTTCCTTTCCTTTTGGTTATGGTTGAGTTTCCTTCAAATCAGACAGACTAATTACTTATCAGTTAAAATACTTGATCAGCCTTGTTTTAGTTGCAGATGGAGTCAGGATAAGGTCGTTAACTATTTGTTGAAAAACTCTGTATTTTGGGATAATACGATGTAGTTTGAATGAACAAAGACGTCAGATCATGAAGTCTCTATATATAAACCACAAATATTTATATGATGTATTAGGGTATTTAATATCAACTATTAAATGTTTGCGTAAATGTACTGAGATTTAACAATATTTGTGTATATACACGATTAAAAGCAATAGATATATATTGAGTAACCTTTTATTTATTGTAAAATAACCTTTTATACCACAACAAACAGCATACAAATATTTGATAAAATTTTGAAATATAAAGGTTTTGAATAACATGAAGAAAGTAGTAATAATAGGTTTGTGAATGTGAAAAACATGACATCATTACAATAAACCCACAAACTGTGGTAGTTAAAGACATTTTGCATATTAGAAAAGTCATGAAAATGGTTCTAGTTATGATAATTAACTATCAGCTATTAAACATTGTGTTAAGTTACAATAACTCGTTACAATTCTGAATATTATGATGAGAATAAAGCCCCAAGTTTTTAACCGAAGGACATGCAAAAAAATGCTGCAGAAAAATTATTTATTAATTAACATTATTGATAATTCTTATCTTAATATATATTGATTTACCTTTCAGTATTATGAATATGATTTAAACTTACTGTAAAAAAAAGTTTTGTATGTTTGAGTGTTATGAGTCTTCCTTCACAGTAAAACAAGTAACACTAGCTTTTATCGATAATATCGATATAAAGAAAAGGTATTCACTGACGGCTCCCCAGATGGCTAAGTCTGAAGGCTTTTAGTGCCAAAGATCGGATGTCTATACCAGCGATGGGCAGAGCACAGCTAGCTCATTGTGTAGCTTTGCGCTTAAGAACAACCAAACAAGCCACGAATGGCACAATGCATTCTAGTCATTAAAGGTTATAATTTTGTGGTTTACTGATTTTGTATTATGTATTTCTCATAATGTTGTTTCACAAAATTTGCTTCATTAATTTACAAGTAAAGTTGTAGTTTTGATTTATATAGTTGGTTTACTTGTGTTCATAAGTGTCTATCGTAATAAACTATCCTGCTTATAATCAAAATATTTACTAATACGTACTGTAAATTTTGATTCTGATTTAGAATACGTTCTTTTGGAGAAGTGGTCTAAAAATATATGGGGATTTGAAATTTAAACCGTTCAATCTAAGTATGTGAAATCCAAAAAAGATGCAGATCATGAGATCTACTCATACTTCAAACAGCGTTTCAAACAACTATTGGTAATTACTGAAATTTATAAAAAAAAAATCACTAAATTAATTATTATCAGTTATGAGCGACAGTCTAAAATATAATTCTTTCGAAATTCTGAAATATGTACATTTGTTTTCAGCCATTGATTCACTTGATGGAAAAAGAAGTTTGATAATGAATAGTAGAACCGCAGCCACAATTTTCAACATATTTTCAATAAAAATTCAAACTTGTTGCCTATGCATTATTAATAGCTTTTTATGTTTTTAATTCCATTGTATTTTTATATCAGTAATTATACAACAGATTGTTGAATGTTAATGTAAAATGTTAATTTACGAAAAAATTATTCAAAATTTCTGTCTAAACGAAGCTATTATGGCAATATTCAAAAAGCTTTGGTAGAAAAATATGCAGTAGTTTATAAGATAAAATGTTTTGGTAAAGATGAATATTTGCTTGTTTGTTTGTAGTTAAACACAAAGCTAAACAATGGGCTATCTGTGCTCTGCCTATCACGGGTATCTAAACCCGGTTTCTAGTGTTGTAGCTCTGTAGACATGCCGCTGTGCCACTGGGGGGACGGGATGAACACTAATCTTGTTTTAGTGCTACCTGTACCTAATGTGTATAATAATATTTTTGAAAAGTGTCATCAAAAGTCTTTAACAAGCTTAGGTTTCTTCTAATGAAAAGTTTCATCCCCCCCCCTCAAAAAAGGACAACTAAAAAAAACATAAATCAGTTTCTGATTTTCCGAGTTATAACATGCTTTATAACTCCTTAAGAAGTGAAAACGAAGTACAAACATATCACGTCTATAACAAAGTCCTAATTCGTAACAATGTGGTATAGCAGGGGTTTACAATAAAGTGATTTAAGAGGAGGAATTCATTAATTCCCATTTCGTTGAAGATTACTTCATAATTTCACAAAACCAACCATATTTTCTATGAGATTTTATTTAGTAGCCTTCACATTAGATAAGAACGAAATTGTTAGAAGGAAATATAGGTAAACGCCCACCCACAAAACCCGACGCAGAAATAGGGCAAACGTGACCTATAAGGATATCCAGTGGAACTATGCCCCGTTTCTTGTTGGCCTTTCTGGATGTATTTTTCCACTTGTTTTTCCAGAATCTTTAGTGGACCCTGGTTTTTTAGGATGACGTCGTGAAACTCTTTTATATCAAAGTTCTTTCCTGAAAAAGATAAAACATTAGTATATTTAGTTAAGTGATAAGATGAATTATAAAATAATATTTTTACTTTCTAAACTTTTAGAACTTTCAGTATACTAAATTAATCTAAAATAAATAATTCCTTTCAAACATATTTTAGATATTATAAAAGTATATAATTTTTACAGTATTGTGATTTTCAAAGTTGGTATTTAAAAGGTTAACGGCTAAATAAAAGATGATTTTATTACAGATAAAAAAACCAGTAAAAAGTCTATTCAGTAAGGAAAAATACGATTAGCACAAAAATACGAGAATTTTATTGATTTTACTATACTACAATTTTCTTTAGAAGTTTGTCCATCCTGTAGTATTTCCTGTTCATTGTGATCGTTACAGACAGCTGCCCCCCCCCCCAGTGGTACAGCGGTGTCTTCGGACTTAAACGCTAGAAACTGGGTTTCGATACCCGTGGTGGACAGAGCACAAACAGCTCAAGTTCATGAGGTTGAATTCAGAGAGACAGTCTATGAAACCCAACAATACGAAACCTTCGAAATCGTTGGGTTAAGAGAGATGAATAGCGGACACACTTTGATTACTCCCTAAGAGATAGCACTAAGTTGCTAGAGAATTATTGGAGTTCTCCTTTCTAAGATCAGACGATTTGGAAGCTAAAAAATCTTTTACGATTACGAGCTTTATAATCCGATTACGAAAAATAGGTACAACGTAGGAGAAAAAGGAAGCTGTTGGCCTAATGTTGATAAAGATATATAAAAGACAGGGCGATCAACGAGTAAAAAAGAAACCAGAAGATGCAAGAGAAAACGATTGGAGTAATATAATATACTGCTATTAAGAAACTAAACATAGATCAAAACCTATGTTTTATTGACATAAAAATAAAGAGCAATTTGTTATGTTTACATTAGTATGAGTCAATTCCTGGTAGAATTAAGTACAACCTTAGTGAAATAGTTGAACATAAGAAGTGAAAACGAAGTACAAGCATACCACGTCTATAACAAAGTCCTAACCCGTAACAAAGTGGTATAGGAGGGGTTTACAATAAAGTGATTTAATAGGTGGGATTCATTAATTCCCATATAGAACCAACGTCTATAACAAAGTCCTAACCCGTAACAAAGTGGTATAGGAGGGGTTTACAATAAAGTGATTTAATAGGTGGGATTCATTAATTCCCATATAGAACCAACCATATGTTCTATGAGTTTTCATTTACTAGCCTTCACATTAGATAAGAAATTATCGAAGAGATATGACAAGATACGACTGTGTATCACTAGAAATAGACTGGTATAGTGTAGGGAAAAAAGAAACGACCACTTTAAAAACATTTTGACTCGGAACGAATCTTCATGCTAAAAAAAAAACACAATACTGTAACCAACTTATGTGTTTATATTTCAATACGAAATGTACATTAAACCATCAAATGTAGATAGAAGCGTTAATTAGATTATTACCAAGAGCTGTTTCTGCTTTTTTTCTCAGTTCTTTTATCTTCAGTTCTCCTATCTTGTATGCACAAGCCTAAATTTAAGGATAAAGAAAAATCAGATATAGGAGATGTTGTCAACACCATAAACCAATCATTAAAACGTTTGGGAGGTTACTGGAACAGAAAACTACAAAAGATGTCATGATATTAGGAGGAGAAGTTATAATTTTTTTTCGAAACAAAAACTCTATTGATTTTCAGTTGTATATCATTTGCAGTAAACACTAGTTTTATTAAACGCTTAAAATTCAGAAGGTATAATTTACCCTTTACGACCACGACTATTAAAAAATATGCCACAAAACGTAGAAAGCATTGACTTATTTAAGCTATTTTGAACTCTCTATTCTTGAAATATTTATCATAAAAATAGATAAGTAGATTATAAACATGTCTAGAGTAGAGAATACATCGGACACTTAAGCATACCTGGCCAGGCCACGTGACGTAACGATCAATTTCGTTCTCAATGTTTTGTCTTGTTGAAGCGGAGTTTTCTAACATATAATTAATGGCTTTATCCCGACTCCATCTGTAATTAAAACACGGCTGATCAGGTATTTTGATTGACGGATAATTATTCTGTTCATTAATTTAAATAATCTACTAATCATAAAGTTCTAGTACATATTTTTTCCCACATGAACTTACATTAAATACACAAAATAATAATTTACACATTATACTTAGTTATATTAAACATTCTCTGCAATATAAGTTCGTCATCTTATCAAAACAAGAAACGGAAATTTATCATTGTTGTTTATATGACATGAATCATTCGAACATAATGCAATGATGTTAACATTTAAGAACTGTTGTTGTTTGTTGGATTTTCGAGGGTTATCTAATCCAGCCGTCCTTAATTTTGAAATGGTAGACTAGAGGGAAGGAAATTAGTCAATACCACCCACCGCCAACTCATAGGCTAATCGAATAAATGGATTTGGCAGTCTCTTTTATAACGCACCCACAGCCCCAAAATGAGGAGCGCAATTCTTCTCAGCAGAAATGTAGCACGAATTATTGATCGACAGTCCAACGCATTAACCATTGAGTCGGAACTGAAGTGGAGTCTTTAACAGAATTATAGAGGAAATAATTAGTGGGTTTCAAATATTTTTTGAAACCTACGAAACAATTTAATCATGAGAATTATGTGTTGGTAATTCAAATATTTTGATGCGTTTAATCTTATTTCGACATATTATACAACGTAACTTGAATATGTTGTTTTCATTATATCACAGGGTATTCATCTAAGAAGAACGTTATGGATTATTTTATTTTGAGAAAAGAAAAGCCCATACCAGTGTTTCCCCCGGTGGCTCAGCGGGCTGAGGTCTTATAACGCTAACATTCGAGTTTCAATATCTGCCGTAGGTACAGCAAAGATAGCACATTGTGTAGCTTTGTGTTTAACAACAAAGAAATAAAGACATTAATGGTACAGAAAAAAAAACTAGAGGTTAAAAGGAAATACGTAAATATACTGTCATTCGAAATATGTTTGCCAAGGTAAAACAGATTGTACTAATTTTATTCTGAAGAAATTATAATCTGAAATCACGCTATTTGTGTACCCTTTCAACATGAAGTTCCATTGTTAGATATTTAAAATTAAAAATGCAAAAAGTTATATTAGTTGCAAAGCTTTAGCGTAAATACTGACAAACAAAAATAGGGTGTGATTAAGAATTACAAGTGACAATTACAAACTTTGAAACTTAAGCGCCTCATCAGTTTGTAACAGGAAAAGAACAATATACTGTAACGAATTTGTTATTATATAATTATTTTAATATCAACGTTTGTTTAGAATAAGTTTATATTTAAAAACATGCATAGCTTACAGTGTTAAATATGTATTGCGAAACTCCTGCCTATTCTCCAAAGTTGTAGGAGATTCTCGAGAGTAAGAATCAAAAATATATGTACGTACGTAAATGATTAAATGTAGCCAGTATTGTTACATAATCTGAACATTCTAGAAAACCTCGACACGCCTATAAATATAACCAACGCGATGCGCCAAAAAGAAAGTATCTATTATTAGTTTCCTATAATCAGTGTGCCACAAACTTTGGAAACTATAACTGTGATTTTTATAACGCTTATCAATCGGAAAACTTCAGATATTTGACCAGAAACCTTTATAAAGTTTGAACATTACAAACCATTTAACTTCAGTGGATTCTCATCGGACATTAGTATTTTTACGAAAACATTATATAAATTCATCGTGGAAAACTCGGCGTGTGTCGCCGGTCAATAATGAAGGACGAAGCTAGCTAGCTTCCCGTGAACCCTCGATAAGATATCAAGGAAGTTCCAGACTAGAAAGGAGACTTTATATTGCTTAAAAGTTTGTGAAACTTTTGTTTATAAATCATTGTTTGTAATAACTGTTATTGTACATTGTATTGTTGTGTGTATATTAAAACGTATTTCTGTTAAAATAGAAAACTGTGGGTATCAATCTTGTTGGCAAATATCATAAACTGACTATATATCGGCATATACTTAGACACTATATCCAACGTACAATTTAACTACTAAATTTTAATTTATTGGGTAACTCAATTTCAGGCTAATTGAAATTCTAATACGTAACAATACATAGAATTAAGAATATAACTAGAAAAAACAATAAAAATCTCCTATTGTTCATAATTTTTTAAGTAATTAATAACTAACCCTAAAGCATGGATTCCCGTGTCGACGACAAGTCTGCAAGCTCGAAATATTTCCTCTGAAAGATGTCCCAGTCTGTTGGGGTGTAAGATAATATCAAAATATGATTCATTGGTATATTTCGGATTATTAATGTATTATATTATTGAATGCAATAATTATGCATCAAAAACAGATAATTGTTACGGACTTTTATTTCGGGTTCTCGAGAAAGAAAGCAAATAATAACACAACACAATTGAACTCAAAAACTAATCAACAGATAAAAAATAAAAACCATGTTTCTAATCAAAACAGACTTTAGCTTTAAGAGCCTTACTAGACCACCGTGACCGTTGGGTCAACCACTATTCAGAGGTCATGAAGAATTCAAACTAATTTCAATATTGCACCGAAATGAAGGTTTATTTTGAGATAATTTTATTGAATATTTGTATGTATTCGTGTTATTCATAATTCAAGAAAAGATATTTGATTGTTGATCGGGAGTAAAAGGAAAACCATTTCATTTTTCAAAAAAGTGAAGTAAGAAGTTTCGTAAAGAGCGCGAACGTTAAGTGTGAATGATTTTTTGACTGAGAAAA